CTGAAGAACAAAAGGACAGCAATTTGTCTGTTCCCCTTCCCCCAATTCCCCAGCACTGTTCCCATCCCCCAACTCCCCAATAAAAATCTTTAAAAAAAAAAAAAAGAGAGAATGGCGAGATCCCTGGTATTTACGAATTCATCAACACATGTAACCATCTGCAAGCCACCTTACAGGTCTTAATATTGCTCAAGCAGAAATGTAAACTGTATGCATTGTGAAGCTGGGGTACAAGCCACGAGTCAACTGGCAATTGAATAAACCTAGCTCATCATCACTCAGAAGCCACATCAAAATTGGCAGAGTCAAGAAGTAAGAAAACAGGTAAAAGCTTATGTCTGATATTATTAAAAGGTATTTTCTGAGAAAATAAAATATTCAAATTAATGTGGGAAGCAATGAAACCAAACAAGGCAAGTTTCTTCATTACAGAACTTCTTGGAGTCTATAATATGCTAATGTGCATTGTACATCGAAAAGCAGGGGTATGACATGCAGCATTTCACTTAGATCAGGAGCCATACCAAAAGCTCTAAGGGTACGAATTATCTCACATGGAGATAGAATGAACAGAAGACAGAGAGCTACTTTGAGAGGTCTGGCATCGATAACAACAAGAACTACAGATGATGCTTCCAAGGAGCCTCCCACTGTTCTAAGGTTTAGTACTTTATTTCATCTTTAACAACAACCCCGTGACATAATATAATTATGGTCCCCATTTTGCTTTGTGGAAAATGAGATATAGAAAGATTTAGTAAATTGCTGAAGGTAATACAGCTAGAAAATAGTAAAGCCAGGATTTGGACTCAAGCAGTTGAGCTCTGGGACCCATGTTCTTAACCATTACGTTCTTAACCATTATCAATGAAATTCTTACTCATCCACTCCAAAGTAAATTAGTAGTTGGATATTAAATAAGAATGAAAAGTAAGCATAATGATTCACTTAAATAGAAGGCTAGGAATTTTAAAAACCCTATGCAATGAAATTGGGACTAGGGGACAGGTGGTAAAAAAAAAATCTGTCATTATAATAATGAAATATTCCATAATTATGTTTATGATAATCCCTAGTTGATTAAGAGTAAGAAGCATCTCAAGCAAGGAACACTCCTCCCAACCCCCAGCACACACCAGGGACAAGGCACAGTATCTCCATGGAAGGGCTCCTACCGTGACTCTCTTCATGTCGAGCTGGCGCAGCTGCATCATATTCTGGAGGATGGTGTGTTTGTACCATGACTCTTGAGCTATTGGATTGCCATCAAAAGTGATGTCTGAGAGGGACGCCGAGTCAGCGAGGCAGCAGACACTCTCAAAACTGCAAGCGAGACAGAAAACACTGGGTCATCGCGAGACCGTCACATAGTACTTTGTTTAACAGACATTATTTCTTAGAACAGTTTTAGATTTGCAGAAACACTGAGCAGATAGTACAGACTTCCCACATACTCTCCACCCAGTTTCCCTATTATTAACATCTTGTACAGTATGCTTGTTACTATTAAGCAACTAATATCAATGCATTCTTACTAACTAAAGCCCATGTTTTATCCAGACTTAAGTTTCATGTATTGCCCTTTGATCCAGGAGCTCATCCAGGAGACCACCTTACAGTTAGCTGGCATGTCTCATTAGGCTCCTTTTAGTTGTGACAGTTTCTTAGACTCTCCTTGTTTTTGGATAGCCTTGACAGTTTTGAGGGATATTCATTAGTTATTTTGTAGGATGCCCCTCTGTTGGGATTTGTCTGATATTTTTCTAATGATTAGATTAGGGTTAAGGTATATACCAGGGGTCAGCAAACTGCAGCTCGTGAGCCACATGCGGCTCTTTGGGTACGTTCCATCTCAAAAGTTTGCCGACCCCTGGAAGCGCCAATCCTGTCCCTCACAATTTAAAAATTATTCGAGAGCCATAATATATTTTTACATAATCACCATTATGTGAATATCCTTTAAAAATTTTATAAATGAAACTATGATAGTTTTATTTTCATTCTCAATTTTACTTCAGAGACTACGGCTCATGAGCCGCAGTTTGCTGACCCCTGGCGGCTCTTCCATCTCAAAAGTTTGCTGACCCCAGGTATATACAACACTATTAACTCACATGACATCACTGTTGATGTTGATCTTGATCACCTGGCTGAGGTAGGGTTTTTCAGGTTTCTCCAGCGTCAAGTTACTGTTCCCTCCCATAAATTCTTTGGAAGGAAGTCATTACGTACAGCCCATACTTAGGGTGGGAAGTCCAGCTTCCCTTCCTGGAGGGCCCAGTACTTAGATAAATTATGTGAAATTCTTTTTCCTAGGGTGTTTGTCTTTTTGCTGCCATTTATTTATTTATTTATTTATTTATTTATTTATTTATTTATTTATTTATATCAGTTTGGATTCCCACGGATGTTTATTTTATGCTTTGGGTTGTCATCCAATACTACTTTACTTATTTTATTGTTCAAATTGTTCCAACTTTGGCCATTGGAAGTTCTTTCAGCTGGCTCCTACAACCCTTTGATATACTCCCATTAATGTGGACTTTTCTGGTACTTCCTTATTTTCTGGCACTGTAAGATTCTCTAGATTCATATTATGTATTTCCTACCCTAGTCCTCGAATCAGCAACCTCTCCAATGAGCCATGCTCCTTCTATCGGAGAATGGTATCAGAAACAGATCTGGAGGCTAGCTGTACTTCTTGCTACTGAAGTGTCATTTCTTTTAGGCTCTCTGATGACAGAGTAAGGAAATACATGTATGTATACATATATCTATAATACTTCTCTGTGTAACCACTGGCATCTCTATTAAGCTAAACATGAGTTCATTCCGATGTCTCCACTCTAATCCATTACCAAAAGGATAGCTCTAGCTCTTTCTCTACTTATTTGTAAATTCCTGCTCCAACAAGAAGAAATCTGGCTCCTACCATCTCTCAGCCTTTTATTCAATTGTTTGATTCCAGAACATATATATATATATAGTGGTATCAGATATTTTACCCTGTACCCCCATGAGAAATAACTTTATCAACTAAAGTATATGATCAGGTGTAATTCCTTTTGCATTTAGTTTTACAGGCTGATTTCCAAAGTTACTTAGGTAGCTTTCTTTCTCAGAGATTGTCTCATACAATTGAAATACAACTAGATTCCCTTGTTATAGTCTGCATTCCTTCCTGAGATCCTCCAACCTGCTAAATGATTTTTTTAAAATTTGTATACATGAAGGTTCACTCTTTGTGCTGTGAAGTTCTATGTGTTTTGACAAATGCATAATGTCATGTGCCTACCGGTCATAAAGGAATCATATGGAACAGTGTCATGGCCCTAAAGAATTCCCTGTTTAACTCCTTTCCCTTCACCCTGAATCTCTGGCAACCACTTATCTTTTTCCTGTCTCTATCGTTTTGCCTTTTCCAGAATGTCACAAAGTTGGAATCATTGAGTACGTAACATTTTAAGACTGACATCTTTCACTTAGCAACATGCATTTAAAATTTATCCATGTTTTTGTGTGGCTTCATAGCTCTTTTCATCACTGAGTAATATTCCATTGTATGGATGTACCATTGTTTGTTTATCCATTCACCAATGAGGACATCTTGGTCGCCTCAACTTTTTAGTGATTATGAATAAAGCTGTTATACAGATTAGTCTGGTATTTGTGTAGATATAAGTTTTCAACTTAATTGGATAAAACTTAAGAGTGCATTGCTAGATCGTCTTGTAAGACTATATTTAGTTTTGTAAGAAACTGCCGAACTGTCTTCCGAGTGGCTGCACCAGTTTGCATTCCCAGCTCTGCTTTCTCATCAGCATTTGCCATTTGTCAGGTTTCTTTTTTCTATTCCAATAGGTGTATAGTGGTATCTCATTGTTTTAATATGCAATTTCCTAATGACAAAGGATGTTGAGCATTTTTTTCATATGCATATTTTCCATCTGCATATCTTCTTTGTGTTTTCAGTTCCTGTGCCCATTTTTAATGAGTTTATTTACTTATTGTTGTATTTTAAGAGTTTTTTATTAAAGTATATTAAAGACACATCTTTTGTCAGATATATGTTTTGCAAATATCTTTCCCAGTCTGTGAATTGTCTTTTCATTCTTTTATAATGTCTTTCACAGGGCAAAAGTTTTTTATTTAAATTATGTCCAACTTACCAGTTTTCTCTACCATGGATTATGCTTTTGGGGTTGTACCTAAAAATGCATCACCAAATGCAAGGTTCCTTATATTTTCTCCTAAGTTTTCCTTTAGAACTTTTATAGTTTTGTATTTTACATTTAGGTCTATGATCAATTTTTCTTAATTTTTTTTTGTGTGTTTCACAATCTTCACAGTTTTGGTTTTTTAAAAATTTTATTGTTAGTTTCACGTGTACAGAACAATGCAATAGTTATCCTTTTCACCCTCACAAAGTAACAACCTTCCTCCCCCATCTACTGCCCTCCCATCCCCGAGATCATGCTTATCTATTACAATTCCATTGACTCCATTCCCACTCTCTATATCTGAAGCTGACGTTGAATTTTTCTTAATTTTTAAAAATCTATTTTTCAATTACCATCAACATATATTATATTAGTTTCAGGTGTACAAAACAACATAGTGAGTAGACATTTATATACCTCACAAAGTGATCATCCCAATAAGTCTATTACCCATCTGACACTGTACATAGTTATTACAATATTATTGATATTTCCTATATTGTACATTACATCCCTGTGACTATTTTTTTCAATTATAGTTGACATTCAATATTATTTTATATTAGTTTCAGGTGTACAGTGTAGTGGTTAGACATTTATATAATTTATGAAGTGATCCCCCAATAACTCTAGTACTCACTTGATACTATACATAGTTTTTACAATATTATTGACGATATTCCCCATACTGTACTTTACATTCCCGTGACTCTTTTGTACTTCTTAATCCCTTCAAATTTTTCAGCCAGCTCCCCAAACTCTCGCCCATCTGGTAAACATCAGTTTGTTCTCTGTATCTATGAGTCTGCTTCTGTTTTGTGTGCTCATTTGTTTTGTTCTTTAGATTCCACATATAAGTAAGCTCATATGGTATTTACCTTTCTCAGTCTAACTTATTTCACTTAACATAATACCTTCTAAGTCCATCCATATTGTCGCAAATTGTTAGGTTTCATTCCATTTTATGGTTGAGTAAATACTCCATTGTATATACGTACCACTTCTTCTTTATCCAACCGTCTACTGATGGGCACTTAAGTTACTTCCATATTTTGGCTACTGTAAATAACGCCACAGTGAACATAGGAGTGCGTATATCATTTTGAATTAGTGTTTTGGATTTCTTCAAATAAATGCCCAAAAGCGGAATTGCTGGGTCATGAGGTAGTTCTATTTTTTATTTTTTGAGGAACCTTCACACTGCTTTCCACAGTGTCTGCACCAATTTTCATTCCCACCAATAGTGCATGAAGGTTCCCTTGTCTCCACATTATTACAAACACTTACTGTTTGTTGATTTATTGATGATAACCATTCTGACAGGTGTGAGGTGATCTCTCATTGTGGTTTTATTCATTTTTCTGATGATTTGGAACATTGAACATGTTTCATGTCTATTGGCCATGTGTATGTCCTCTTTGGAGAAATGTCTATTCAGGTCCTCTGCCCATTTTGTAATTGGATTGTTTGTTTCTTTGGTGTTGAGGTATATGAGTTCTTTATAAATTTTGGATATTAAACCCTTGTTAGATGTACCATTGGCAAATATCTTCTCCCATTCAGTAGGATGTCTTTTCATTTTGTTGATGGTTTCCTTTGCTGTGAAAAAACTTTGTAGTTTTACATAGTCCCATTTGTTTATTTTTTTTCTTTTGTTTCCCTTGCCCAAGGAGATATATCAATAAAATATTACTAAGGGGAATGTTGAAGAGTTTACTGCCTATATTTTCTTCTAGGAGTTTTATATTTCAAGTCTCACAGTTGCATCTTTAATCCATTTTGAGTTTATTCCTGTACATGGCATAAGAAGGTGGTCCAATTTCATTTATTTGCATGTATCTGCTGAGTTTCCCCAGCACCATTTACTGAATAGACTGTCTTTACCCCAGTGTAAATTCTTGCCTCCTTTGTCATAGATTAAATGACTACATAAGCATGGATTTATTTCTGGCTCTCTATTCTGTTCCATTGATCTGTGTGTCTGTTTTTATGCTAATACCACGCTGTTTTGATTATTATGGCCTTGTAGTATAGTTTGATATCAGGTAGTGTGACACCTCCAACTTCTGTTCTTCTTTCTATCGAATGCCATGTCCATTGGGA